GCCTTTCATTCAAGAAAATTCTCAGCAACAGAAATCAATTATGAGATCCACGACAAAGAACTTCTTGCAATTGTGGATTCTTTTCAAGAATGGCATCATTATCTTGAAGGCGCTTCTAGTCCAGTCATCGTGTATATGGATCACAAGAACCTCGAATATTTTATGTCAACATGCGTATTAAATCGTCGCCAAGCTCGTTGGAGCATGTCTTTATCAAGATTCGAGTTCATCATCACTTATCGGCCAGGAAAACAACAAGGTTTACCCGATGCCTTGTCTAGACGTTCTTATCTCACACCAATAGAAGGAGATGGAGCTTTTGAGCAACAAAGAATGGTTCTCTTGAAGCCGAAATAATTTTATTTTCGAGCAATAAAATCAACATTGACTATTGATTTAACTTTCCTTAAGCAAGTCCAGTTAAGTATGTCTTCAGACCCTCTTGTTCATGATATCAAGAACAATTCTTCTAAATCTCATGATCGCTCTAAATTTGAATTCAAGAACAACCTACTCTATTTCGAAGGATGCCTATATGTTGCAGAAGGAGAAGCTCGTTTACGTATTCTTCAAGCTCGTCACGACTTCCCAGTAGCAGGACATTTCGGATATAATAAGACTTTAGAGCTGATATCTAGGGATTTCTGGTGGCCTCAAATGTGGAAGGCAGTTAAAGATTTTGTACAATCATGTAAAGTTTGCTCATGACCGAAAACTCCTCATCATCGACCTTTTGGACTTCTTCAGCCATTACCCATTCCAGAACAACCATGGTCTTCTGTTTCTATGGACTTCATCACGGATCTTCCAATCTCAGGTTCTTATGACTCTATATTCGTGATAGTAGATCATTTTACCAAGATGGCATATTTTGTACTATGTACAAAATGTATCACACGTGAAGAAACAGCTAAGCTCTTTCTTGACAATATCTATCGCTATCATGGATTACCCAAGGATATTATATCAGATAGGGGAACACAATTTGTATCAAGATTTTGGCAAATTCTTTTCAAGATTCTTAAAGTGGATATAAAACTATCTTCGACATTCCATCCTCAAATTGATGGACTAACGGAGTGTGTTAATCAAGTTTTGGAGCAATATTTAAGATGTACCATTAATTACCAACAAGATGATTGGACAACTCTTTTGCCATTCGCAGAGTTTACTTACAATAACACGGTACATTCTTCTACAAAACAAATACCTTTCTTTGCTAATTATGGTTATCATCCACGACTTGATACTTTTGACTTTTCAAAAGTTGATAATCTTGCTGCGAAAGATTTGGCAATTCATTTATCAAAGCTACATGCAACGATGAAGGCGCAGTTAAAACAGGCTCAACAACAAAAAAAAGCCAATGCGGATGTCTATCGAAAGGAACAACCATCATTCGTCTTGGGTGATAAGGTATGGCTACTTCGTCGCAATATGAAGACCACTCGTCCCTGTGACAAGTTGGACTATCGAAGGCTGGAACCATTTTCTATTTCTGCACAAATCAATCCAGTTGCATATCGTTTACATCTATCGGAGTCAATGAAAATCCATCCCGTATTCCACGTGTCTCTTCTTGAACCATACAAGACAGTGGACATATCAAGAAGACGACAAGCTCCTCTTCCTCTTACAGAAGTGGACAATAATGGAGAGTTTGAAGTAGAAGAAGTCTTAGATTCAAGGCGACGCCGAAATAAATTATAATATCTTTTCCATTGGCATGGATATGGTATTAGTGAACGCACATAGGAGCCAATAAAGAATCTTACAAATACAGCAAAGGCGGTAGAGGCTTTTTATCGACGACATCCATCAAAATCAAGATGAAAACCTTCTTTATAAAAGAAACAACATCTAAGCAAGATAACATTCTACTTTCAATTCTTGTTTGTAGCTTCGTTGTAGTAGTGGCACTCAAGAGATGGAGAACCAACAACCAGCAGATTCAACTCAAGAGCCTTCATTTGTTGACCTGCCGGACGAGACATTACGATTGTCACAACCTTCAAGACGACGCAATCGAGATGAAGATCTTCAAGAATGACATGTTCTTCCTCGAATAGATGGTGAGATACAACGCATTTGGTATCACAATTTGGGAAGGGACTCCCGATGTTTGGTGATTTTGCTAGAAGTAGGAACAACTCCTGATGGTGTTCCAAATATTCTATTCGAAGGAAGTTACGAAGGCCTCAACAATGATCAAATAATCGGGTGGTCTTCCCGCCCTGGTTTGAGACACTACCGATAGTTGAGAGGCCCTATCAATCATCTTCGAAGAGAACAGAGATCAGAGTATGTGGCGAATACAATTCGTCGCATCATAGATTTCCTCAACATATGATGATCGTTCCTCGTGGAACTCATCTCTAGAAGGGGGGGGTAATGTCTCGGCCATGATCATGTAAGCTAATAATTACATATAGAAATAGGTAGAAGTAAGTAAAAGTAGATAAAAGTAAGTTAATTCTATAATATTTAATATGGAAGCTTTTTAGAAGCTTCCTAGATGCTGCTTTGACTTCATAGGTGTCTTTAATTGACTTTTTGGATTAGAAACATGGTCAACAAGTTGGCGATGTGCCACACATGTTGTTAGCTTGAAGATCAAGCTAACTATGTGGCCCACACGTAAAAAAACTTGCCTTGTAAGTCAAGGCATGTGTCGTACAAAGTCAACACATATTGGAGGTCCTATAGAACGTCGCCACGTAGCTCCTAGTTAGATAGTATATATAGAGACAAGAGTGAAGGCTTCTTCACTCTTGTCAACTCCTTTCTTGCTTCTAGTCTAGTTTCAAAGGTCTCTAGTTTTCTTGTCTTTTGGCAATAGCCATTCCAGTTTTTCTTTCAATATATATACTTGTTTATATATATTTCGTTACCTTTCTTTGAGTGAAGGCTCACTTGTTTGAATTATTTTTTCATCGAGTTCTTGTTCCTGACACCCACACATAATATGCATGCAACTCAAATGGACATTCAATCAATTAATTTGTAGTATTTTATAGACAAATATGATTATTTTTCTTACAATAATTTTTTCTCTGTCACACTTGAAATCAATGTGATCCTTGTCAAGGTAACATTTGCAAAAGACATATCTTTGGTTGTATGAAAATGTATCAATGTTATCTTCCATTTCTTCTATACTTTCAAAATATCTCTTTGATGGAGTAGATATGTGCATCTTACTTTACATTGCAAAAGACAAATAATTATAGAGCATATAATTTCCTCTCTCCTCTCTATACACTACACACAATGTCAAAAATAAGAAACTATAATATAAAGTTAACATAAAAAAAGATTGAGTATATAAAAACTGATAGATGTTAATAATAGCTATTGAAAACCATTACATGAAGAAAATCTAAATATTTCATGTGTTGATGTCATATTCTAAATGCTAAATTCGACACTCTTATATACGATATTGATACATGAAATATTTATATACTCTAAATACTATATTCTTAAAATTAGTTAAAATATATTATATGTTAATAAATCTAAATGTGTGTTAGAGTGGTTAGTAGATTAAATTAAAAGGAGTTGGTATAAGAAACTTTATTTTATTTTTTTATTTATTTTGATTTTGGCATTAAAAAAAATATAAGACCTAAATATTTAGTATGAAGCCTTGGAAGCAGGTGGAAGCCTAAAGATGAAAATCTAAACTAGTAGGACGCTAATTGAGATGGATGAAAGTAAGGCATGGTTGCATGAAGGTAAGGAATGGAAAATTTCATCCCTATTGGTTGAATATCATGCCCAATGGGCTTTGAGGAGGCTGCCCATGACCTTAACAAGGATTTTGGCAACTTCAAAGAAGGCATTTGGGAATTAAAAGCAAGGATTGTAAAGTTTAAGATTTGGATTACAATTTGTGTACAAAAATTATAGGATTTGGAGTTAGGGTGAAGAAATTATAGCCATTTGAAATTAAGGTATTAATTTAAGACATACTATTACTCTTTTGAGGATACAAAGAGTTGTACGATAGGTTTTGAAGATCAAAAGGTGCGATTAGAACAATGATTTCAAGGCCTACATCTTTTATGAGAGAATTATTGCTTTTGGAGTTCAAATGAAGGAGTTATAGGGAGTTGAAGGCAGCACTTCCAAATCAAAGGCAATAAGTGAGTGGTTTTGTTTATAGTAATGGTTGGAGCCATAACTTGAGTTTTCGGACGAATTTTTGGCTCAAACTTTTTGGAGAATGTAACATTTTGTGTTAAAAAACTATATCTATAAATTTCGTGGTATTTGAGCTTATATTTTGTGAGATATGAAGAAAATTGCACGTAGATGTATAAAGACAAGGGTTTAAAGCGACTATTAGGGTTTTCAAGATATCTCAAGATCCGCAACAAATTTGTGATTGAAATTTGTTGTAGAAGTTAATAAGAATATATCAGTACCTCATGTAAAATTTGAGTTTGTTTGGACGATCGGATTAGGAGACATAAGGTATTGAAGTTTGGAAAAATTTCTACATAAGGATATACAAGGTTTTAAAGGATTTTATCATATTTTGGGTGTTGTTGGTTAATTGAGGCTTATGTATTTGGTGTAATTGCTCAAAAAGGAAAATTTTATATATAAACTTGGCCTTTCTTATCTCAAGACTTGATTGAACAATTAGTAATAGCCAGGAACACAATACTTTCTTGAGGCAAACTTTCACTGTCCCGACATCAATTTGAGATTATGGGTGGATTGATTCTATAAAAGGATGGATCCACTTTACATTCTCCTATATAAATTCACACATACATGTTTATATATATCAATCCATGAATTATCCCCAGGAGAGAATCTTTTATAAGAAGCAAACTAACAATCTCGCCCTGCTCCGCCTTAGTAACACTCCTTTGAAACCCAACACGGAAGCGTGGCCATGGCCGTGGTGGCTATGGCGGGGAGAGATAGAGAGCGAGTGGTGGTGGCGCGTCCACCGCGCAGGGGAAAAGGAGTCTCGGCGAGACTCACACTGACGTCGTGGTCACCATGACGGAGCCACATTGTCTGCCTCTGCCTTTTAAGCACAATTTTCTTATTTACTCCCTTGCCCAATTGTTTCTAGATTGATCACTGCATCGTCGTCGTCGTCATTGTCGTTGTTTGATTCGAAATTCCAATTGGGTTTGCTGTTGTTTGGTGGTTTGCTGAATCCTAGCTCGACGTAGCTCGCGACCATGGTCTCACTGGCCCAGAGCTGCATGAGCTCCGGTGTTGCGAGGGGCAGTGTTGCGTTTTTCACAGGCTCCGCTCTCAATGGCTCCTCCGTGGCCTCTGTCAAGTCTGTTCGCGTTGTTGCTCCACCTGCCAGGATTTGTGCCGTCAAGACCCCTGAGGAGTGCAATGACGAGGAGTGCGCCCCTACCAAGGAGGTACAAAAACATACATTTGCCTTCTATTGGGTCTTCTCTACAACTGCGCCTGTATTCGCTGTGTGGAGGTCCATGGTTGGGATGTGAAGTAGAAATGGTGTTTGGATCGTGGCTGTTGATTTTCGCAAATTGGTGCAATTGGAACGAGCTGGTGCTGCATCGATTACTGAGCACCAGGCGTAGTATGGGCTGGGGAGGAATTTTAGAGAGATGCAGCTGGGCGGTCTTTGGATTCGTTGTGAGTTGATTTCTGCATGAGATCCAATGCTTCTAATGCATGCAATGCCGGCATTCTTGTAGAAGACCATAGCCTGCGTCCGGTGTACTTTTTTCATGTCGATTACCTTTAGACATTATATTTGTTTGTGTTCGCTGTCACGAAGTAATCTCGGTTCACCAACTTCAATCAATGTTGTCAACGTCCACTAGGTCTACAGCAAACTGGAAAATCATTCGGTGAAGCGTTTTTGATTTAGTGGTGAAAAGTGCGTTTGTGGGAGACGCCACAGCTTAGGCCAATTGTGAAGTATTCTACTGGGCCGCATCTGAAGTGCGACACTCCGTATTGCTGAAGTTTGAATCTGTATAAACATTTTCCGAGTGAGGTATAGCGGGGAATTTTTGTTTTGCTGCACTTCTTCTGAATATTGTAGGAAGATGGATTGATAGGTCTCGGTCAATGTCTCACGACAGAGTTTGTTCTTTCCCTCAGGTTGGAAAATTGAGCATGGACTGGAAGACTGAGGATAACACTAAGGTGACAGGGACATACCCGCCATTGGCCCGCCAGGAGAAAAAGTGGACCGGATACGTAGAGAAGGATACCGCAGGGCAAACTAATATCTACGCTGTCGAGGTGAGAAGCATTACATGTGAAGTCATTTGTGTTCCTGACGCCTGCTATGATGATCCTGTTGAATATGCAACAACCATGCCTGTCTGCAGTAGTATTCTGGTGTCACTAACCCCTACAGCGTGAGTGTAGACCCCGTGAGACGGTCGGTTTGTGAATGGTGGTCAATCCAATATATCACTATATAGAACATATTGGATAAAACACCATGCACTTCTAGAATTAGATTACGTGAGGACCACATGGTATTGGACAAATCTGATCATATGAATCGTAAATTGGGTGATCGGGTCAGCCAACGATCTACGTTGCTGAGAGCGCCATCAGCACGGGTTCTGCTGGAGGAGCTGCTGACGGTTCAGATAAGGCCCTCGCCGTTGCTGGAGGACTAGCCCTCATCGCGGTTGCAAGTGCCGCTTCCATTCTTCTGTATGTAGGTCAGAACGCACCAGCACCGGCGACCACGTACGACGGACCTCCATTGAGCTACTATGTTTCCAAGTTTACCCAGGAGACTGCGGCACCCCCTGACATAACAGCACAAGTACCCCCCATACCGGAATCACCACCTCTTGCCGACGAGTCGTCTCTCTCAAAACCTGAGGTTGCCCTCTCCTCAGAATCTACGTCTGCAGAATCTGAGGCCGTTCCAGAGAAGGCTTTGGAGGCGTTGTAAGGCACTGTTTCTACCGTGACCCAGTTGGGTCATGCGAGGATGTTTCGATTACTGCTCTGCAAGCAGTAAAACTTGTCTTCCTTGTTTTCTTATGATCGTGAAACTTCAGTTTAGAGATGTATTTTTAATTTAGAGGCTTGCATTAACTTGAGAGGGCCATTCCCTTCTGTAGTATATATCAATCTGCATGGTAAATGCGGTGCGAATTCGGTGAAAATATTACACCCGTTGTTTAATTGGCAGTAGTTTAGCTAATGTATCATGAGTAGTGTGCAGTACAGGATTGACTAACAGCCGTTTAGTCCAGAGCATGTAAGAGAGGGTTGGGTGGTTAAAAATTGCCCGTTTCCCTGCTTCTAGTAAATTAATCTTTTGAAATGTGTTACCAGCTTCTGAAGCATGTGTTGCCCCCACGAAACAATTTTAGTTGATGTTTCCTTGCGTAGGAGTGGCAATTTGCTCTTCTGAACAGATAAACACAAACATCGAGCAGTCTAGTTGAAGTGTGAAAAATAATTCATGAGATCCTCTCCTCTTACAAGCAGCTTCACACGATGTCAATTCACAGAGAGTATACGCTGATCTTGAGCACGTCTCAGATATCCTGAACATATTTGTTTCATTTTTAGCAGGAAAAAGTCATACGACGAGTGATTACTATAATCTACACAATCGTGTACCAATGGCATTTTGATTGTAACGCTATGACCCATATTGGTGTGTTACCAGCACTTTAAAGAGCCTGAAAAACACATCAATAACAAAGCGTTCTCGTTCACATCGGTATAACATGAGCTCTTGGTCCATATACCACACTGTCACAACCATTTCTTACTATGCAAATTGTAGATGCTGAGTCATCCAGCGACGCAACCCTTTGTGCAGATTGTGAGTGTGCACTATTGAAATTTCGTTGAACGAGAGCCGACATGGCAATTTGGAGGTAGCTCCTCTGCTATGATGGAGTAACACTCTCGTTCATTGCTTTGACATAAATGATCCCCGTTTGTTTGCGCGAAAAAATAGAGCCTTACTGAGAACACCATGACGATGAACAATATAGGGCAATTCTTATCGTACACACACCTAGCGGCATGGACTGTCATGATGTAACTTGGACACGCGCACAAAGCTTTTCAGAAAATTCGCTCTGATGGTACTGATAGATTCAGGGATACGTGATAACTGTTTATGATATGGGAATACAGAGGAAATTGTGTGCTTGCTTGTTTGTGACACCTCACTGGAGCACGCAATCTGGAAGTTTCAAAGTAAAATGTAACCAATTTTTAGATCTGAATGTCAACAAGGTGTGTTCACCATGCCATCACCGGGCAGAGAGTCGAAAACCAAGTGGCAGATGTGCTCTTAAAATAAACGTAACAACCCCTATTCTTCCATATCATCCTTATCGGAAGAAAAAAATTGGGCTCTACTAAGGATGTACACTGTTCCCCGAACCCACACACCCGTTGGGGACCACTGAATCTCCTCCCAAGCCAAACCTTCTTCCAAAACCTACACAAAAATGTCCATAACCCTCTAAAATGAGTAGGAAAATTATGAATTTTCACCTAAAAATGGTTGGAGAACTGCAATTCGTGAATCTCTAATCTGGGAGTGAAAGCATGATAAGAAACCAAAAGCAATAGAGAAGAATTAAGACAGGAAACTTACCTCAATAAATTCTTCTGACAAGGGTACACCTTTCTTTTTCATAGACGATAGCGACAGAGGCCGTTTACACTTGGACCATCTGTAGTATTCATGTGGCTCACTACTAGAGTGACCATGATGGCCACCTGTTAACCCATTGCTTGGATGATTTCCATGTGATTTTTCTCCATTGTGGGTTTGCAAAATTGGTTCTTTGTCGCCAACTGCCAAAGTTCTATCTGTCGAACCCCATTTCTCTTTGCCCTTTTCCATTCCAGAAGTCCCTGGAGGGAAAGAAGAGGTGGCAGTGGTTGCGCCATTGCACGTTGTACGCTCTCCATCATATGCCAGTTCATACCTGCATAGCCATTACTGGAGTAATTATAAAATCTAATGACAACACGAGCACAACCAAGACCTTGTGATTTTAAACTTAAGGATCTTTCAAATTCTGGAACGTAAAACAAGAATAAGAAGATAACTCTAACCGTAGAACTGTTGATAAGTTTACGGTATAAAATTAGAAATGCAGTTTTCTAGAAAGAGAAAACTGGTGTTCAATATTAGCGTCCAGGATCCTGAGTGTAATCATGTGCAACAGATACCGTTCAATTGAGTTCTAAGTAATTAGCAGCGTGAGTAAACTAACCGATGAACCTGGGTCTCTACATAGAGCACTTCCCCTTTTTTGAGTCGAGCAGAAGTGTATTGAGATTTCTTTAGTCCACGGTCGGCCACAATGCTCATGCTGTATTTAGCCCTACAAACGAGTCGGAACAGAACTGAATCAGTGATATCATCAAGAACTGACAAGACAAACGTACCCTGACAGAAGGATAAGTACAAGTTGATTTACGACAAGGTCACAGTAATGCGGCTTTAACATGAAAAGTAATACAAAACATTTGTTTTAATCAAGAAATATTTTCGTGGAACAAATTTCAAAACGGCATTCCAACTGCTGGATCACATTTTGAAGGAAAGTGATCTTTCAGAACCCTTCTCACAAACTAATTATCTCTTGGAACGGTGCATCTTCAAAGAGCATCAATGGACATGAGCAGCATGCCAAAGAAAGTCCACACCTATCCGTTGCATGCTTGGTACATCAACACATTCCCACTGCAAGTACTATCAGCGAATTCGAAATGACGTACCAGGGTTCATTGCATAAGTTGTATTGTATAGTCACTTCTTGCATAAATCTTTGTTGCCGATATGGACTCTGCATACCACATCACAAAACATGGTAATTGGAAAATATGATACAATTTGCTATACACAACGCCCGAAAAGACATTTGCTGATAATAGCATACAGGCACGTTACATCATTCAAGTGCAATTTATTACGGTAATCCTCATAAAACATCGTTGCGAAGGAAATGATCAAAACCAGTGAACTAAAAATTACAAATTCATTCAGTATACCCAAACACCTTTCAACACAGAGTCCCATGTATGCATATTGCTGAGCTCCCAAAAAATATCCACAGATATTTTTTTTGATCATTTGAGCAATGACGACATAAATGAAGAGAGGCATAAAGTGATTACAGAAGAGGCAGCTCTCGTAGTAACGGTTCGCTCTGATGCTGCAGGAGCCAGTGTCGGAACAAATGGGGGAGTGCGAGTCAAAGATGGCTCCAGCTCTACAGTACCCCCTCCTTGCTGCATAATATGTCACCAACCAATAAGTACTAAAACACCTGACTAAGAGAGAAACCTATTGCTTCCTGTAATGCGTCGTATATGTTTGATTAACTTTAGGTTAACTCTACTTTCAACTAGCATCCTGTTGAAATGTACTAATATGCAGAGCGGAAAATTTCAAGCTTTATTACAATCAGAATTTTTATGGTTTCCAAACCTTTAAAATAGGCAAATATGAAAGTTGAAAAAGGCTAAATTCGACAAGTATTCGCAACACGTCACAAACGAGTAATCATCTCCAACAGATTCCATGCAAGACTGACCTTCACTATGCGGCACCTTTCAACGTTGTAGCTGCATCCACTTCCGCCTCCCCACGCACGTGATCGAATACTATTTCGTAATGTAGAAGTGTACACTACACCAATAAGCCCCACAATCATAGACTTCAGTAAAATATGTTTGTAGTGTTTAAAAGAGGAACAAGAATCATTCTATACTTTTCCCCAAGTCCTAGGTCAAACATACGTACTATTTTGGGATTCAAGAATCCGAATGGTGGCCCGCAGCTCTGATATTGAATCTGGTGGCGGAGTGGGTGAAGGTGAGTAGTATCCTGTATGTAGCAAGACTGCACCCATGACAAATGCAATGGTTTAGGATAATCATATTAACAGTTTAACCGAGGTTGACAAGATAAAGAAGATATTGTTTGCAAATTCACATAAAGTGAAAATTTCAAGTATAGGATAATCATCAAAGTTTCAGGGAGTATTTATAATATTACCTGCAACTATGTCAGAGTCGTCTGTATATATGTCTGTTCCCCATAACTGGCTCCCTCTGACCTGATAACAATCAAGTAATCATAGAAAAATATTAGATTCAAATAGTTTGGGGATGACACTAATTGACTTGATGCTCAATTAGTATGAATCCGAATAAATTTACCGTGAGCAATAATTAGAGGTAAACCATGCTAGTCTTTCTAGCAGTACCTAAATGAAGTTCACAAAGTCACACCCATGTAAAGCAATTAAACTATTGACTTGAGCTTTGAAAGATAAACCACGGAGTGAACAGTCACAGGAGCATGAAGTACAAACCTGACGGTTATTCGTAGTAGCGTGCTCAGCAGGGATACGAATTTCAACGGCAGGGCCCCACCCATTATCTGAGCTATTTCGTTCCCCAGAATCGTACTCCTTCCGAAGTTTTGCAAGTTCCGGCATTCCTTCCCCAACTCTGTAATTAATGAATGAACTTTCTGCCCTGCCTGTCAAAAACAAAGCGCACATTGTAAGAGCACTAGACGCATGATATACTAAGCCCTGGTACACATCATACCTAGCGTGTGGTTCTATTAAAACCTGAAGTGTTGAATATTACTCCTGAAAGACTAGAATAGCCCATATTGCTTCAGTTACAGCCACAGTAGACCAACCTTGAGCCCTGCATAACCCCAAAAATGCATGATCAGTATGCTGCACAAGTAGGTACATAAAACGAAAATATACTTGATAGAATCGAACTAGAATAGACCTGAAACTCCTATTGTGAACAACGAGATATAAACCAAAGATGTTGCAGAAAAGGATCACAAGCAATCATCTGAAATCTCTCTTTTCCATTGCAGTGACACTCTCACAGTTTAAGCAGTTGCAACCAATTAATTTGCGGGTTGATATCATCCACTGCAAGCAAAGATCATCTTTGCGCGCAGAGAAGATGAGTAAAGCAGCAGAAACGTGACAAGGCGACTAGGGCCTAACCAACGGTTGTTCAGCAAATGCTATTTGTACATAAAGATACTGAAGATCTACAAGGCAACGCTGAACCTAAGCACAGTACATAAACTCTCATCCATGCATGAGTGAAAGCATCGTCACACAAGATTATATCAATCAATACAAGCTTTAATGCATCATATTCCAGCAGAAACAAGATTAAACCTACCCTTCAATATCTTTGGGCCGAAACCGAGACCGAGGGTCTCGGTTTGCTGGGTTTGACTGGCCTCTAGGACGCAACATCCTCTTGCGCTGCTGCACTCCATGACCATGAGCGGCATCCTTTTCCTTCTCCCCCCCTGCGACTTCAGTGTCCATTGTACCCAAGGAATCACGATTTTTCTCTTGCTCGCGACTCCGTTTCTTGCGCTTCTCTTTTTCCCCATCCTCATCTCTCTCCTTGTCTCTGTCTCTTTCCCTAACACGCTCGCGAGCTTCCTTCTCGACCAATTTTCGTTCGTCAACCTCACGCGTAAGCTTCCTATCTGTATCTATGTCTTCAACCTTAACAGGTTTCCCATCATCTTTCTCTCCTTTGTTCACAAGATTATCATCTCGCTCTTCACGCTCTCGCCGATGAAAATCCCGATCACGCTCTTTCTCCCTCTTCTCTCGTTTCTCCGAACGTGCATCCTCTCTTTCCTTATCGCGTGACCCCTCCCGTTCCCACATCCTCTCTTTCTCCTTATCTCCCTTGTCCCTCTCTTTCTCATCCCTCTCATTGTCTTTCTCATTAGTAACATCCAGATGCGATTGGGGCAGCAGCTGCTGCTGCTGTTGTTGCTGCAGTGACGGCAGCGCATCTTCTTCACGCTCACTACGCTTCTCATCCTTCTTCTCCTTCTCCTTCTCATGCGGCTCCTCCCTCTTCACATCAGTTGGCACATCCTTCACGGCTACTTTACCCTCACCCTCGCGAGGGCTCTTCTTTCTCAAGCCCTCAGAATTTCCTTCCCCGCGGGCGTTATCAACTAATTCTTGCCCTACTTCCCGACCACTCCCTCCCGATTGCAGCAGCTGCTCCTCGCTCTTTACGTTAACCCTACCAAGAAGCTCCTTGTTGCCGCTGCTCTCCTTCAGCACATCTCCGTAATCCTTCCCACCACTCGTCTTCCTCTCTAAATCCAGCCGCCCTGGATCCCGACCCTCCCGATCACTCTTTCCCTCAGCACTCCCACCCGAGAACTTAATCCTCAGTGTCTGGACTTGCCCTTCCTTGATACTGTTCCCCTCTACGACAGTTCCCTCAATCGACCCAGAGCCACCTCCATCTCTTCCAGGTTTGAAATTCGCATGTGAACTGTTGAAAAACTCAACCTTCTCTGCCGGGTCCACTCCCCGATCACCATGGCGCGCCACTTTAGCGGGACGCAACTCTCCTCCAAATGCAGACGCAGGCTCCATCACCATTCCGCTCCCCACTCCCGCATAATTTTGCTTGCCAGTTCCAGTGCCACTGCCCTCCAGCGCCTTCCCGACTACCGACGCCGTCTCCTCATGCTGCCGCTTCACCGGAAGACTCATCTCATCTCATCTCTTCACACACACACACACACAAAATTTAAAAACAGGCATTCAAAAATCATCAAAAATAACAAAAATAAAAATAATACACGTACTCACACAAAAAAAAATACCTCAATTTCTCGAGGCTCACTCAAACTCTCAGAAGTACCCAAAAATCCTCGCCCTTCCTCCAATTCCCGCTCTCGCATACGCACACCGGTACCGACACGAAGAATGCCGCTAACACCTCCACATTACACCAACGCAGCGATTCCACCCACCTCTCTTCACATACTCTCGACACGCTCACAATACAAAGACCAAAACCCTTGCGAAAATGGATAAGAAACACACACGAGCTCACCTCCATGAACCTCGCGAGCGCGAAGGAAAACAATAGTAGAACAAGTCTGCACGGAGAGAGAGTACTGGATACCTCGAAGAAAGCAAAACCCAAAAAAATAAATAAATAAATAAATAAAAACACACATCAGCAGCAGAAGCTCGGCTACAGCTCATTTACATCACCACAAACCAGGCGAGCCCCGCAAACAAAAACGTGAAAGCAGCCTTTTTCACGCTTCGCTGCTCTTACTTTTTACTTTTCACAGTACTGGTGAGACCCGTTTATACCTGTCGATGAGCAACGACATCCGTTCATACCCTCTCGTCGTTGGATGCGCCAGTCGATCGCGGGTTCCTGGCACTGATCCTCGCCCGCGATTCTCGATAGCCAAGCCCTGGGTTGTCGCCACGTGGAAACCCTAAAAGTCGGGTTTTTAGGTCTTGGGAGCTCCCCTGCTGACAGTGGTTCTGTGGGTGGTCATGTTCTCTTTGGATGTGGATTTGCTGTTCACGTTTCATTGCCTACATTGCATCTAATTAAATTGAAATGTTTCCCAACGTATCCTGGTTATATGAAGTGTTTCTACCATCTAAGAACTGTGCCAACAATACCATCCTTAAACACATATCATGCTCAAAAATGCAAATTTGTCTTACATGCTATTTTTAGTATATTGATATTATTGTAACAAATGTTAACAATGAATAGGTATGTGTGTAAAGAGCCTCAAAATAACAATAATACTAATAATAATAAATTAAGGAGAATGATGAAGTGATCCAAATTTTTACAATAACAATCCACTCTATCTTAACCATCATTGCACCCTTGCAATTCCTATCCTTGTTCCTAGTTATTTTCCATTCTTAACCATTGTTAAGTACATGGGTGGGGGGCTAGGAATGTTAGGAACATAGGTGATGGTTGGAAACATGGAAATGGCTAAGAACAAGGATGGGGTTGAAAAGACACAATGATGGTTTTAACATATGAATAAATTTAGTAAAAATTTGGGTCATTTTATCATTTTTCTTAATTAAATTATATTAAATGTTACAAGTCCTTGAAGAATGTTGCACAAATAATAATAAAAATCTATATATTCTTTAGCTTAAATAGATATCTTGGCTCTTATAAACAAATTGACTTTTCTAGACATGACACATAATTTATGTTTTGTACTTATATATATATATATATATATATATATATATATAAAGATTATACAATATTAAATATATTTAATTTTTTAAATCTATTTTTTCTGAAGCTACAATATACTCAAAATAATAATATTAATTAGAATTCTTTTACAATCTTGACTAATTATTTCTAATATATTTTGAATGTTATATTTTAAGAAGATAAATATTATATTTCTAAATTTAATTATTTGTATCAAAAGTTTTTTATTGTAACATTTAACAAATCTATAATAAAAAATAAGCAAAGGCTCTAACATCTAATAAAGTAATAGAAGATATTATGTAATTTTTAGATTGCATGCAAATTTACTTAGTGAAACAACAAAAATATAGATAAAAATATAAGATCTTTATAAAAGGATTTTGTACAAGAATGTAATTTTAAATAGAAAATATAATTTTATGACACATTATCTTTTATTATGGCTGTATTGTAACTTTCAACAATGTGAGACAAAATAATAATAATAATAATAATAATAATTAAACCATCTATAGAAAAAAATCAAACTTTATTGCTAATATTCTTTTCTATATTTTGTATTATTCAACACCAAATTATTGGTCATTTATTTTTACATGCTTAGAAGTTATAGTTGTTGCTATAAAATTACAAAAATATTTAAGTGCAATCATGTAATATTTTGCATCAAATTTAAACAAATAATTCTCATACTTAAAAAATTGGTCAAATACTTGATTAAATATTTTTGAATAAAATAAATTCAATAGAATTTTTTTATTCTAATATAAAATTCACAAAATAAATATTGATAAATATAGTATCTTTTAGTTTAATATAATTTGTTACTTATTAAAGTGTGAACTATATGCATATACAAAATATTCTTTTGTTGTAAGATTTAAATCTTATTGATTGCTATAGATAATGCATAATGTTTTTTTATATATAAACAAAGAAAATTCTAAAATACGTCTAAATAATTTAATAATAGATGATGTTGGTAAAAAATACTTAAAAAATAAGTTATATTTGGTCAACTATATAATATTTTAATTAATTTTATTTAAAGGATTTAATAATAAGATCAAATTGCAAAGTAAATCTAAAAAGCATTGACTTATTTTCCTAAATTAAAATTATTTTTATTTATTTTTTCATATTTAGGATTATTATTCTATTACATATTCAACATAAGTGGTCACTTGAGATTGTGCAATTATTCACAAGATATATGCCATCTGTATGTTCTTTGTACTAATATCTTATTGTTAGTTGTGGTAGTAAAAAAACATTAGTACATTGTAATTGTTGTTTTTTTACTTGTTTTTATATCTATGCACTAAAATTCTTGATTTTTTAATAACTTTGATTTAGGTAAAAAAAATCATTAATATAAATTCTAATTCTAAATTAATGATATGAATGATAAATTTTAATCTAAATTTAAATTTAAAGAATTTTTATTTAAAATTAAAATATAAAAAAGTCATTGATAGAGTTTAAGATGGCATTTCATTTAATTCTATATAGAATCTAACAAGAAGGAAAAATAAAAGCTTTATTAATGGCCTTAAGTCTTCCAAGCTAAGTATAAATTTGCAATAAGCTTTCATAACAACTTACTAAAAATACAAAATTTATTAGAAAAAATATTACATATACATGATGTACTTCAAGATCTAACATATTTCTAAAAAATAATCTTTATCACTTCTTAAAGAAGGTATTGTCTATATAACCTATTAGTATATATATCTATTTGTTTTACTTATTTAGGTCACATTATTATTGTTAACAATAACTACAAAATATTTAAAACATATACGAATTTGTAATAAATAGTAGTAAAGGGTAAAAATAATAATGCATGATCAATAAAAATAATACATACATACATACATACATACATATATGCACAACTATAAGAATCTTATTATAATTAAATAAAGATTGTTTTATAAGTTTTTTTGAAATAAAATTTTTAAAATTTAAAATTATATTATATTTATAAGTAACATAAGATGTGTATATAACATGTATAAAATTTATTTAATATTATAATTTATATTTCTAAAATAAATAAAAACTATAACAGTATAATTCTATTAAATAAAATTTAATAAACTTAACTCAAGATGTTAAAATTAGATGATTTTGTAGTTAGATCTCAATTTCAAGTCAAATATTTCTAATAAATTTATAAATTTAGAATAAAATATTATTAATATTTTTATTTAAATAATTTTTTTCTTTCAAACATGTTAATATATTTTTATAATAAAAATAATAAGAATATGTACTAAGTGAAATATTATTTACATAAAAATTCTAGTTATTTTTGTATTTGATTAATTGGATTTTTTTAGTGTTGGTTGTAGTAGTAAACATATTGATGCATTTTAAATATTTTTATAAAAACAAAATTGTATTTATGTCATGACAATCTATATATATATATTATAAAATATCAAAACCAAAATTATCTGAGTGAAAAAAAATAAAGAATAAAATATTTTAATTAAAATAAAAATTTTAAAAGTAACAATATCCAAAAACATATTTCGTGTATCTTCTTTATTTCTTTAATACTTTTTGGAAAATAAATATTTATCTCATTATAATAACTAATAAAACTATATCTATTAATTTTAATTATTTATAAAAGAGATGAAACAAGAGAATTGTATTATAATTTTATTTATTTATATATTATTTAAAAAATAATAAATAATATATATAGTAAATTTTAAATAAAAAATAATTTATATATTTTAAAATCAAAAGTAAAACTAAAAAATATTGATAAGATTAAAGATATATTTAGTATTTTATATATAAATTAATAAATAAGAAAATTTTGAAAACGACAAAATTTTTGAAGAATAAAATTTTGGTACTTGCTAAAAGTTCTATCAATGTATTATAATTAGAAATTTAATATTTTAATTTTTTTCTAAATAATATAAAATTAAATTGTATTTTTAATTTTATTTTCTTATTTTTGATAAAAATTTAAAAGATTTTATAAGTTGAAACATGTTTTTAAGTAAAAGATCATAAATATAAATTGATTTTTAATCTTAAATTTTTTTTAACTTGGTTGATATATATTTTTCTATTACTTAAGATAATTTATACTTGATTTTTAATACTAATATCTTTAATATTATTTTATTTTTATTTTTTACTTATAAAATATTTAGAAATGATAGGTAGTATCTTTAAAAAGAAAAATATAAAATATTATGGCTTTTGGTGATTTTTATGAGTAATAAAAAAATTACCTGAATTAAATTAAATTTATTGATATAAAAAGTTACTAAGACATATTAGAGTAGTCTTAGTTTGATATCAATAATTTTAAAAATAAAAAAATAAAAAATATTTTATTTGATAAAATTATATAGTTTTTATGAATTATTTTTAAGATTCTGGTAAAAATATTTTCACAACTTTTGGAAGCTATTATGAAGAATTGGAACAAGAATTTAAAGTCTTTTATATTTTTATGCTAATTGAATCTTTTTGAAGACAATGATTAAGTTAAATCTTCAAAATAAATATTTTTAATAATAAAAACAAAAACAGCCAATAAATATAATAATAATAGTAGTAGTAGTAGTAGTAGTAGTAGTAGAATATTGAATGTGCATATATTGTATGGATTATAGCATATTAGAGGTTATTAGAAGGATAAGACTAAGGCCTTGTGATCCTCTTTAAGACATTTTTTATGCCATTTGTTAGTCTTGGTGATGTTCAAATCCACATAATCAAGTTAACATAGAAGTAAACTTCAATTATATAATTTTTTATTAATAAATTTTATTTTATAATTATAATATTTTTTTAATAATATATT